GGCATAGAATCATTATACAAATTAGAGGTATGATTGGCTGGAGTTTGAACAAAGCGATTTGGCAAACCATGATTGGTTCCCGCCATTTCTGATATTTCAGTACAACCCTTGAGGCGGAAGAGCAGTTTTACACAAAGGCAGTTAATTATATTGCATCAGGTTGCACGACCAGTTTATGGCTATCTTGCTTAAACACACCTTGTGACCTGGCTATCTTACTTAAACATTCCTTGTGACCTGGCCTCAGAAAGAAAAACATGTACTTACAGAACTTACGAAACCTCTGGTACGTGCAAAGATTAGAGAGCAGAACAAGGGTGTAGCGGGTGGGGGGCGGGTACACATCTATCTTTGTGTCCTTTCAACACAATTTCATTTAAAATGATATGTCGATCCTTAATTCAAATCCCTGTAGTATTATTGCATGGCACCCAACTACTTATATTTCTGTTCTATAGGCTTTGCCTGTTCTAGGTGACTGTCTGGTGACCAAAGAAAGCCATTAGAAATTGACTTTTCCAAGGGAATATGTGTGGGCAAAGAGAAAGAAGACTTTTTTTTTTTTTAATCATTCTGTTGCCCAGTCTGGAGTGCAGTGGCACAATATTGGCTCACCTCAACTTCCACCTCCCGGGTTCAAATGATTCTCCTGCCTCAGCCTCCTGAGTAGCTGGGGTTACAGGCGCGTGCCACCACACCCAGCCAATTTTTGTATTTTTAGTATGACAGAGTTTCACCATGTTGGCCAGGCTGGCCTCAAACTCCCGACCTCAGGCGATCTGCCCACCTCAGCTTCCCAAAGTGCTGGGATGACAGGCGTGAGCCACTGCGCACAGCCTGATTTCATTTTTATACTCAAAGATAACTTGGAGTTTTAGGTTTTATAAAATGTTCTGGGCCACTTTAAATATAATTGAGTGCTTTCTCAAATTTTGATAATCTTCAAAATAATTTTTGGAGTGAGTCTTTCGTTACTTTTTCTTTTTTTTTCTTTTTTTTTTTTTTTTTTTTTGAGATGGAGCCTTGCTCTGTTGCCCAGGCTGGAGTGCAGTAGCACGATCTCGGCTCACTGCAACCTCTGCCTCCCAGTTTCAAGTGATTTCCTGCCCCAGCCTCCCGAGTAACTGGGACTATAGGCACCTGCTATCACACCTGGCTAATTTTTGTACTTTTAGTAGAGACAGGGTTTCACCATGTTGGCCAGGCTGGTCTCGAACTCCTGACCTCAAGCAGTCTACCCGCCTCGGCCTTCCAAAGTGTTGGGATTACAGGCGTGAGCCATTGTGCCCAGCCTTGATTACTTTTTCTGTACTTTGTTAGTAATCAGCCTTGGTTGTCATAGTAGTCCATTACAATTTTCAAAATATTCTGTTTTGTTATTTACTAGTGTCCAGAACTATATTATTTCTACAACTTCACCCTACTTGCAAGCTGACAAGTTAGCTTGCCATAGTGTCATGGATGCTGGCAGGAAACACACACTCTCAGTCAAAGACAAAGGATTTGATTGTTGTCAGCACAGCCAGCAGTTCCTCCTTGCTTGCAAGTCCCATGAGGCTGGTATGGATGGGTCTAGATAGTTCCTGAGCATGCAGTGAGCTGCCTTATAGAAAAGGAACACTGAGCTTAGAGAACCCAAATCATTCATCATGGGCAATAAGTGTACGTAGCCTTAGCTTGGAAGGAGACATTACCTTTATTATCCTGAACAAGCAAGCAAACCTGCCTATTGATCCAGAGAGAGACATTATCTCTACCTTGCAAGGCCGTTTGTTATAGTATAGAAACATTCTTGAAAAGATATCCCAGAACAAAGGTAGGTAGTGCTTCTGCCAACAAGATGTACAAAAAATGTGAGAGTGACTGGGCGCAGTGGCTCACGCCTGTAATCCCAGCACTTTGGGAGGCAGGTGGATCACGAGGTCAAGAGATCAAGACCATCCTGGCCAACATGGTGAAACCCCGTTTCTACTAAAAATACAAAAAATTAGCTGGGCATGGTAGCCCACGCCTGTAGTCCCACCTACTCGGGAGGCTGAGGCAGGAGGATCGCTTGAACCTGGGAGGCAGAGGTCGCAGTGAGCCGAGACTGTGCCACTGCACTCCAGCCTAGTGACAGAGTGAGACTCTGTCTTTAAAAAAAAAAAAAAAGAGCTCTATGGTGAGTTGTCACTGAATAGCTAGTGACCATTTTTTATTTTGTTTGAATGCTTTCCTTTTTCTCTTGTTATCTTAGCTAATGGTTGTGTTCCACTGATTGTTTTTGTTTTTGTTTTCCAAACAACTTGGGTTTTTTGTTTGTTTTGAGACAGGTTGTCGCTCTGTCACCCAGGCTGGAGTGCAGTGGCATAATCATGGCTCATTGCAATGTCTGCCTGCCGGGCTCAGATGATCCTCTTTCTCTGAGCCTTCCGAGTAGCTGGGACTATAAGCAAGCACCACCATGCCTGACTAATTTTTTGTAGAGATAGGGTTTTACCATGTTGCCCAGACTGGTCTTGAACTCCTGCGCTCAAGCAATCCTCCGGCGTCAGCCTCCCAAAGTGCTGGGTTTACAGGCATAAGTCATCATGCCTGGCCAACCTGGATTTTTTTATATGTGACTTTCATTTCTGTTATCTAATCAATGAAATTCTGCTTTCATTTTAATCTATTTCTTCATTCTTTGTTCCTCAGTATACTTTGTTGTTCTTTGTCTAACTTTTGAGTGGGGTACTCATATTTTCCTTCATTTCTATTGCTCTAAGAATTTAAATGTATCTATGAATGTTCTTCTAAGATCCGTAGCTATTTTCATAGGTTCTTTATAATGTAGTATTTTTCAGTATTACTGTTCTATATTTAGGAAAGAGTTTTAAAATCTGAAGTGAAGATGTCTTTTGGTTTCATCATTCTGTTTTTTCCTACTTTGTTTCACAGTGATCACAAACTGTTACTTGGGTCATTTCACCAGTTTTACACATTTATACTGTAGTGACAGAAAAAAAATTCTCCTCCTCTCCTATACTGTCTCAACCCATGTCTTTGCTTACTTCATTCAGCATTTTAGATTTTCTTCATGAAAGTACCCCATCTGGATCATGATCTTCGAGCCCACATCCAACATAGCCTTTATTTTTACTCTCGTGCATTCAGGTGACCCCAGACGCCCTTCCATTTTTGATAGTCATTCTGCTGTACTTGATATTTGCCATGACTTTTTGCTCAGGATTTCATAAGCCTTTCAATGTTAGCATGATTGAAAAAAAAAAAATACCTTAACTTGCGTTGGCTACATGGGAATGGATAGCACCACACAAGGGAAGGATGTGAAGGAACAAAAGTTTTGTTTTGTTTTGTTTTGTTTGAGATGGAGTTTCACTCTTATTGCCCAGGCTGGAGTGCAATGGCACGATCTTGGCTCACCCCAACCTCCACCTCCCGGGTTCAAGCGATTCTCCTGCCTCAGCCTCCCGAGTAGCTGAGATTACAGGCATTTGCCACCACGCTCGGCTAATTTTGTATTTTTAGTAGAGATGGGGTTTCTCCAAGTTGGTCAGGCTGGTCTCGAACTCCCGACCTGAGGTGATCTGCCCCCCTCGGCCTCCCAAAGTGTTGGGATTATAGGTGTGAGCCACTGCACCTAGTCAACAGAAGTTTGAGTAAGTGTAGAATTGATAAGTAATAATATAAATTCTAGCAGAGATAAGTAAATCATTATAATATGGTATAAAGCAGCAGTCCCTACCTTTTTGACACCAGGGACCGGTTTTATGGAAGACAATGTTTCCATGGACTGGGGCGGGGGAAAATGGTTGATGGTTTTGGGATGAAACTGTTCCACCTCAGATAATCAGGCATTAGATTCTCATACGGAGTGTGCAACCTAGATCCCTCGCATACACAGTTCACAATAAGGTTCACGCTCCTATGAGAATCTAAAGTCACTGCTGATCTGACAGGAGGTGGAGCTCAAGCGGTCATGCTCACTCACTGGCTGTTCACCTTCTGCTGTGCAGCCCGGTTCCCAACAGACCATGGGCTGGTCTGTGGCCCGGGGGTTGGGGACCTCTGGTATTAAGATTAGAGGCAGATAAACATATTAATTAATGACTATATAATTATGAGAATTAAACTGGTAATATGTATTTGGGATTTGTTAATTAATGGCGATAATAGAGATTGTTTCTGCCCCAGGGGTAACTCAAGGATAACACTTAACAGACTAAGCTAACAGAATAATATGAGAAAATTAATAAACATATTCAAAAATCGGAGAAAGAGTTATAAATATGAAAAAGAATGTGCATGGCCGGGTACAGTGTCTCACACTGTAATCCCAGCACTTTGGGAGGCCGAGGCGGGCAGATCATCTGAGGTCAGGAGTTCAAGACCAGTCTGGCCAACATGGTGAAACCCTGTCTCTACTAAAAATACAGAAAAATTAGCCGAGCCTGGTGGTGGGTGCCTGTAATCCCAGCTACTGGGGAGGTTGAGGCAGGAGAATTACTTGAACCTGGGAGGCAGAGGTTGCAGTGAGCTGAGATTGTGCCATCGCACTCCAGCCTGGGCAACAAGAGAGAAACTCCATCTCAAAAAAAACAAGAAAAGAAAAGAGAGTTTGCTAAGAGTGTTGCTATGGTTTGAATGTTTGTCTCCTCCAAAACTCATGTTGAAACTTAATCCCCATGGGTGGGACCTATAAGGGGTGAATGGGTTACAAGGGCTTTCATGGCTTAATGGATTAATGAGTTATTATGGCAGTGGGACACATGGCTTCGTAAGAAGCGAAAGAGACACCTGAGCTAGCACACTCAGCCCCCATTACCCACTGATGGTCTGTGCACCGCGTTGGGACTCTTCCGGGTCCTCACCAGCAAGAAGGCCCTCACCAGATGCAGTCCCTCAACTTTGGAGTTCTCAGCCCCATAAATTGTTAAGAAATAAACTCCTTAATCTGTCAGAGTAGAGTAGAAATAATAATAATACATTCCTTTTCTTTATAAATTACCCATTTTCAGATACTTCGTTATAAGCAACAGAAAATGGACTAAGACAAGCGTAAAGTGCATAGACTTAAATAGGGCCAGCAGGACTAGCCTTTGTGAAGAAGTGATTTTGATTTGAGGCTGAGAATGAAAACCAGCCAACCATGCAGTGTCAGAGGATTCCTCAAAGAAGGAGCAGCCTGTGAAGAGTCCTATTTATTTGGAACAGTTGTGGGGCATTTTGTGCGTTGAAAGAGGCCCAGTATGCTATGGACAGAGAGAATAAATGGGAGAAGAGATTTGTTGACAAGCAGCAGCTTTATTATTTATGCTCAGGTATTTATATTTTATTCTAATGGCAAAGAGATAGCATTGAAAACATTTAAATAGAAAGACTCAAATATTGATCAGCATCCCAATAATGTCTTGGAGAATGTAAACAAGAACAAAACAATTACTTGCCCAGGACTTTGTCCTAAGATGGTTTCAGTCAGTTAAAAACACATCTGCATAGTTTCAACAAATCTCTAGGTGATCCTTCTCCACACTTAAATCAGGCCTTCACTGATTTGACTTGCTTTCCTAATCACCAGCCCTGCCTGCACTCCTGGACTCTATTTGCTATGTTTCCCTTGCCCTTTTTCAAAATGATGAGACTGCAATCTGTCCCATGGTACACATTAGCAGAATAGTGACAAAAGAATTGTGTATAATGTAGAAGATGATTGGCTCATGAGTAATTGTCCTAGTCCAGTGGAGCTAGCTTAGTAGAGGTATATTTATAATGTTCAGTAGGAAAGACAAAGGCCTTCCATATGATGCTTTATTATCAGGAGCCCTTTCACCTCTGTTTTAAGAAAATTAATAATAAATGTCTGCACCCAGGGCTCCCTCCCCAGAGGAATGTACCATCAACCTTGCATGGCCTCTTATCTAAAGACAGGCTTCAGTTTACCTTACTCCCACCTTAACGACGTCCTCACTGGCTCTGGGCTTTATTTTCATGTGCAGTGTCTCAGGACCTGAAGTCTAGCATTGCTTCTTTATTTTTGTGCATTTTAATACACATGAAGTGGATTTTAGCCATGCTGAGCTGCCTTTTAGTTTATCCCTTTAGATGTCAACTAGTTTATTTATTAGTGTTCTACTGATTAAAGATGCATAGAATTGGCTGGGCATGGTGGCTCACACCTGTAATCCCAGTACTTTGGAAGGCTGAGGCAGGCGAATCACCTGAGATCAGTAGTTCGAGACCAGCCTAGCCAACATGGTGAAACCCCATCTCTACTAAAAATACACACAGAAAAATTAGCCTGGCTTGGTGGTGTGTGCCTGTAATCCCAGCTACTAGGAAGGCTGAGGCAGGATAATTGCTTGAAGCTGGGAGTCCGAGGTTGTAGTGCGCAGATTGTGCCACTGCACTCCAGCCTAGGTGACAGAGCAAGACTCCATCTCAAAAAAAAAAAAAAAAAAGATGCATAGAATTAAGTGTTCCTGCTCCGGGCCTATTTTTCCTCTGAACGCAGTAATTTTTTAGTGTATACTTTTGTAGAAGATAAAGTTTTTTAGGTACACATATGTAAGATTGTGGCAGAAATGTGTATGTTTGAGATCTGTCTCATCCATTCAGCTTGTAACAGGCATTATTTTAGTGCCTTTTATTTCTTTACAGAAGTTTTTTTGTTTGTTTGTTCTTTGTTTTTTCCTTTCTGGAACAGGAAAACAGTATGTATTTGCTTTCTTGTTTTCTTTCAGATTTGGAATCCAGATATAGGACCAATACTTTATCTCCAGAAAAGGACATTTATGAAATATATTCATTTCAATGGGATATAATGGAAAGAATTAAAAGCTATAGCCTTCAGGGTTCTGTTTTTAGGAATGATTGGGAATGCAAAAGCAAGATTGAGGGGGAAAAGCAACAACAAGAGGAATATTTTGGGCAAGTGAAAATTACCTCTGAAAAAATGACCACTTACAAAAGGCACAATTTTCTTACGGAGTATCAGATCGTTCATAATGGAGAAAAGGTGTATGAGTGTAAGGAGTGTAGGAAGACCTTTATTCGTCGCTCAACACTTAGTCAACACCTGAGAATTCATACTGGTGAGAAACCTTATAAGTGTAAAGAATGTGGGCAGGCCTTTAGACAGCGTGCACATCTTATTCGACATCACAAACTTCACACTGGTGAGAAACCCTATGAATGTAAGGAGTGTGGGAAGGCCTTTACAGTGCTCCAAGAACTTACTCAACATCAGAGACTTCATACGGGTGAAAAGCCCTATGAATGTAAGGAATGTGGAAAGGCCTTTAGAGTACATCAGCAACTGGCTCGACATCAGAGAATTCACACTGGTGAGAAACCCTACGAATGTAAGGACTGTGGAAAGACCTTTAGACAGTGTACACACCTTACACGCCATCAGAGACTTCATACTGCTGAAAAGCTCTATGAATGTAAGGAATGTGGGAAAGCCTTCGTATGTGGTCCAGACCTTAGAGTACATCAGAAAATTCATTTTGGTGAGAAACCCTATGAATGTAAGGAATGTGGGAAGGCTTTTAGAATATGCCAACAACTTACTGTTCATCAGAGTATTCATACTGGTGAGAAACCCTACGAATGTAAGGAATGTGGGAAGACTTTTAGATTAAGACAACAACTAGTTCGCCATCAGAGAATACATACTCGTGAGAAACCCTATGAATGTATGGAATGTTGGAAGACCTTTAGTAGTTACTCACAGCTAATTTCACACCAGAGCATTCATATTGGTGAGAGACCCTATGAATGTGAAGAGTGTGGAAAGGCCTTTAGACTGCTTTCACAACTTACTCAGCATCAAAGTATTCACACTGGTGAGAAACCTTATGAATGTAAGGAATGTAGAAAACCTTTTAGACTGCTCTCACAACTTACCCAACATCAGAGTATTCACACTGGTGAGAAACCTTATGAATGTAAGGAATGTGGTAAGGCTTTTAGACTTTATTCATTTCTTACTCAACACCAGAGAATTCATACTGGTGAGAAACCCTACAAGTGTAAGGAGTGTAAAAAGGCCTTTAGACAGCATTCACACCTTACTCAACATCAGAAGATTCATAATGGAATTTAATAGAAGAAAGCCTTCAAATGTATATGATGTTACAGAACATCAGAAAATTCATTTTTGAGAAAATGTGTTCCATGCTTAATTCCAAACATAATAAATTTTATATTAGAGAAAGAATATGTTGATTTAAAAGCCTTCCAACACCATTTAAACATGGTTTATCTTCAGCAAATTCCTATGAGAATAACGTAATGAATGTAGGAAAATCTTTAGCCTTATCTGTCATTATCTCCCTTTCTCCACTTTATTACCAGTGTGATTTATTGGACAAGATACTAAGCTTCTGTGCCTCATTTTGCTGACTTGTAAAATGGTAATAATAGTACTTATATGTATTAGTTATTTATTGCTGTGTAATAAATTACCACAAACGTAGTAGCTTAAAATAACATATATTTATATCTTACAATTTGGATCAGAAGTATAGGCATGACTTAATTGGGTCCTCTGCTTCAGGGTCTCTTGCAAGGCTACGGATTTCAGCCAGGGCTGAGGTCTCATCTGAAGGCTCAACTGGGGAAGGATCCACATCCATACTAACACAGTTGTTACCCAAATGTATTTCCGTGAGGCCTGTTGCATTGAGATTCTCAGTTTCTAGCTGGCTGTTGGCTGAACGCTGACTGCAGTTCCTGGCCACAATAGTCTCATCAGCATAGCTGCTTGCTTCATCAAGGCATGCAAGCCAAAAGCAGGGAGAGTCTGCTAGCAAGATGGAAGTTACAATCATGTGTTATCTAATCATGGAAGTAACATTCCCTCACCTTCTACTGGTAGAAATAAGTTACTAGGATAGCCCACACTCAAGAGAAGAGGATGATACAAGAGTGTGAACAAGTCCTCAGGACCACTGGGGGGCCTTTTTAGAGTCAGCCTGCCACACTGTGGAATAGGATTGTTGCAAGGAGTAAGTAGTTAATACTTGGAGGAATCACAGTCATATAGCATGTATTCTGTAAATATTATCTATAATTGTTATTGTCATTAGTATTAGTGAATTCACATACAAGGAAGATCTGTAGATATAATAAATGTAGAAATGCCTCCTGTCACCTCTCAGAAATTATTAAACATAATTTATTCTAGGTAAAATCTAGATTGTAGTGAATGTAGGAAGTTCTTCAGCACTTGAGCTGCATTAGAAATTTCATGCCAAAAAGAAACCCTGTGAATTTCATGAATGTGAGGTCATTAGTAGTACAGCTGTTGAAGAATTAGAGGGAAACAGGAAATGATTTTCCCATAATTCCAAAAAGCAAAAGGCTTACAATCCCTGTTGTCTGACCACAGTTCAAAATTAATTAGAAACTATCAAAAATGTGGCTTAAAAGAAATGAACCACCTAGGAATTTCATATTATTGTGTATATTTATGTGTGTGTATAAAACTGCTGTGGAAAAGAAAGAAAACATCATTCTGTAAGTATCTTCAACCAGTAGGAGTTGTTTCAAGTTGAGTTTTTGATGTGATCCCACCAGTAATTTGATAGTTTACTTGATTGTGGCTGCATAATTTGGTCACCTATGGAAGATGCTAGAGCACCAATTTATATATATATTTTTTGAGACAGAGTGTCACTTTGTCCCCCAGGCTGGAGTGCAGTGGTACAAGCATAGTTCACTGTACCCTGTTCCTCCTGGGCCCACCTCAACCTCCTGAGTAGCTGGGACTACAGGTGTGCACCACTATGCCTGGCTAATTAATTTTTTTTTTTTTTTTTTTTAGAGAAAGGGTCTCACTGTGTTGCCCAGGCACGTCTTGAACTTCTGGGCTCAAGTGATCCTACCTCCTTGGCCTCCAAAGGTGCTGGGGTTGCAGGCATGAGCCACCACACCCAGCCCAACTCATTATTCTTGAAATCAATAAATCGGAGGAAAAATTGACATTTCATTTCTTTTTCCCATGTGAACCAAATTTCAGGGTCACCAGAAGTTCATCAGATTCAAGTGGATTTGGCCTGGCACAGGCAGGGGCTCATGCCTATAATTCCAGCACTTTGGGAGGACAAGGTGGGTGGATCACTTGAGGCCAGGAGTTTGAGACCAACCTGGTCAACATGGTGAAACCCTGTGTGTACTAAAGATACAAAAATTAGCCAGGCATGGTGGCACACGCCTGTAGTCCCAGCTACTTGGGAGGCTGAGGTGAGAGGATCGCTTGAACCCAAGAGGCAAAGTTTGCAGTGAGCTGAGATCGCGCCACTGCACTCCAGCCTAGGTGACAGAGTGAGATCCTGTCTCAAAAAAAAAAAAAAAAAAAAAAAAAAAATTGAATGGGTTTTTCTTTTTTAAAGAAGTCTAATAAATCCAGAAGGAATTATAGGATTAGAAAAATCACCATTTTCTAGACCTTAATGGAATAATGGGTCCAGAAGACACGATCTTCAATGGGTACTACAACTAATAGGTGAAACATTTTATAGCGAGATTTTTTTTTTTTTTTTTTTTTTTTTTTTTTTTTTGAGACGGAGTCTCGCTCTGTCGCCCAGGCTGGAGTGCAGTGGCGCGATCTCGGCTCACTGCAAGCTCCGCCTCCCGGGTTCACGCCATTCTCCTGCCTCAGCCTCCCGAGTAGCTGGGACTACAGGCGCCCACAACCGCGCCCGGCTAATTTTTTGTATTTTTAGTAGAGATGGGGTTTCACCGTGGTCTCCATCTCCTGACCTTGTGATCCGCCCGCCTCGGCCTCCCAAAGTGCTGGGATTACAGGCGTGAGCCACCGCGCCCGGCCTATAGCGAGATTTTTATGGTGGATTTATCAAGCTGGCCACCTCTAAACCCTTTGATCTATTTTAACCTTAATAAAAATAGGTCTATCAGACAACACACATACTTCCTGACATAGTGCAATAAGAAGTCAATACCACCATCTACAAAGCCTTATTGCTGGAATAAAAAACAAGGGGACTAGATGAACAGTGTATAGTCATCCCTTGGTATCCATGGGGAATTGGTTCCGGGATCCTCCAGTGATGGTAAAATCTGAGGATGCTCAAGTCCCTTGTATAAAATGGCATTGTATGTATTTGCATATTACCTACTCACATCCTCCTGTATACTTTAATCTTTGGATGACTTATACCTAACACAATGTAAATACTATGTAAATAGTTGTTATACCGTGTTTTGCAATTTGTATTATTTTTATTGTATTTTTATTTTTATTGTTTTTTTCTTCTTTTTTTGAGTATTTTCTATTTGAGGTTGGTTGAATCTGCAAATATGGAGGGCTGGCTTTAAAGGGCACCACAGGAAGAAGCCAGACATATCCAGAATGTGTGAAATTCTGCAGAGCAAATTACCTGATTTCTTCAACTAACAGGTGGCATGAAAATACAAGCGGAAGGGCAACCGTTAACAGATTAAGAGAGACTTAAAGAGACATGTCAACTAAATTCAGTATGTTGGCATTACTTGGAGCCGGTTTGAACAAAACATAAAAAGCCATTTTGGAGACAGTGGGGGAAGTGTGGACATGGATTAATATTAAATGACATTTACATATATTAATTTGGTTAGGGATGATGTCAATGTGATTATAAAAAATAAAAGATCCTATGTGTTAGAGATACATACTATGAAATGAAGATTGACACATTTGGATTAAAATATTCCAGCAAAAGAAAAATAATTGGCAAAGAGAGCTGGGAACTAAATTGGCAACATGTTGATAATTTAAGTGGACTGGTTTGTTCGTGGAGATTTATTGCTCTAATATTTCTACTTTTGTATGTGTTTGAAATTTCAATAATAAAATGTTTAAAATGAAAACCAAAATTATAGAATATGTAGAAATGAATGACAGTGAGATGCCTGCACATCTAACCTTATCAGATATCATCAAAGTTCTATTCAGTGAGAAATTAATACCCTGTAATGTGGTAAGGAAATCTTATTTGTGGATACAGTCTTCGTATTCTTCACTTACCCACAGCAGCAACACCAGGCCTGTCACACAGATGAATGTGTTGAGGGAATGAATAAGTATTTCCGTCAAGAAAAAGGAAACAACAAAATAAAACCAACCCAAGTAAAGAACAGCCAAGTGGTCAGGCATGGTGGCTCATGCCTGTAATCCCAGAACTTTGGGAGGCCACAGTGGGCGGATCACCTGAGGTCGGGAGTTTGAGACCAGCGTGACCAACATTGAGAAACCCCGTCTCTACTAAAAATACAAAATTAGCCAGGCATGGTGGCACATGCCTGTAATTCCAGCTACTTGGGAGGCTGAGGCAGGAGAATCACTTGAACCCAGGAGGCGGAGGTTGCGGTGAGCTGAGATCGTGCCACTGCACTCCAGCCTGGGTAACAGAGCAGGAGTCTGTCTTAAAAAAAAAAAAAAGGAACAGTCAAGTACAGTAGAAAGTAGAAATTAAGAGAATAAAGAATATTAGACTTGATTCAATGTTAATAGTGATTAGATTTTGGCATTATAATCAAGGAAGAGAAAATGAAAGATAATACATTTAGAGTATTGATGATAAAAGACACAATTCTAGATTATATCAAGGAGATTTTTTAAATTATAAGGCAAAACTAGGCTGGGCACAGTGTCTTACGCCTGTGATCCCAGCACTTTGGGAGGCCGAGGTGGGTGGATCACTTGAAGTCAGGAGTTCGAGACCAGCCTGGCGAACATAGCAAAACCCTATCTCTACTAAAAATACAAAAATTAGCCTGTCATGGTGGCGGGCACCTGTAATCTAAGCTACTGGGGAGGCTGAGGCAGGAGAATCGCTTGAACCCAGGAGGCACAGGTTGCGGTGAGCCAAGATTGTGCCATTGCACTCCAGCCTGGGTGACAAAGTGAGACCCAGTCTCAAAAATAAATAAACATAATATGGTAAAACTATACATGCACACATGCACAAACATGCATATTCATTCCAATACAAGTAAAAATGTAGAAGGATTACATTTTTTCCCCCAGAGGAATATGTTATTATAATTAACTCACTGTAAAACCCAAATAGATTAACAAAAAATATGTGTGTGTGTGTGTGTGTGTGTGTGTGTGAACTCCCTGTTTAAGTAAAACATCTGATACTTATAAAAACTTTAAGGAATATCCTAAAAATTGTACCAATTAATTCTGCACAGCTAAAATAATCCTAATAAAAATTAGATGAAGATAGCTTCTGAAAGCAAAATCTAGACCACCTTCATTACGAAGATTCTGTTTTTCACAATTCTAAATAAAGTTTATTTAGAATTTATTACAAAATCTATCTTTGCTAATAGGTCAGTGTTTCTTTTCCCAAGCACCAAATACCTCCAGAAGGCCTGTGTTTGACCCCTAAATTCAACATTCTCCAGAAGTTTGCTTCAAGGAACACTAATTCTTTTTTTTTTTTTTTTTTTTTTGAGATGGAGTCTCACTCTGTCGCCCGGGCTGGAGTGCAGTGGCACGATCTCAGCTCACTGCAAGCTCCACCTCCCGGGTTTACGCCATTCTCCTGCCTCAGCCTCCTGTGTAGCTGGGACTACAGGCGCCCGCCACCTCGCCCGGCTAGTTTTTTGTATTTTTTAGTAGAGGCGGGGTTTCACCGTGTTAGCCAGGATGGTCTCAATCTCCTGACCTCGTGATCCGCCCGTCTCGGCCTCCCAAAGTGCTGGGATTACAGGCTTGAGCCACGGCGCCCGGCCGGAACACTAATTCTTGATGGTATTTGAAAAAAAGATTTGTTGGGAAAATAGGCAAATGAAGCAAAACATAAAACATCTACTTTTGGCCGGGCATGGTGGCTCACGCCTGTAATCCCAACACTTTGGGAGGCCAAGGCAAGCAGATCACCTGAGGTCAGCAGATCGAGACCAGCCTGACCAACATAAGTGAAACCCCGTCTCTACTAAAAGTACATAATTACCCGGGCATGGTGGCGGGTGCCTGTAATCCCAGCTACTTGGGACGCTGAGGCAGGAGAATTGCTTGAACCCAGGAAACGGAGGTTGCGGTGACCCGAGATTGTGCCATTGCACAATTGCCTGGGCAACAAGAGTGAAACTCAGCCTCAAAAAAAAAAAAAAAAAAAAAAAAAAAAAAATCTACTTTTGAGGAATTCAAAGTATATATGATCAGTTTGTCAAAGAGTTAGTAAAGACTTTTATTTTTTTTTATTTTATTTATTTATTTATTTTTTTTGAGACGGAGTCTCACTCTGTCCCCCTTGCTGGAGTGCAGTGGCCGGATCTCAGCTCACTGCAAGCTCCGCCTCCCGGGTTTACGCCATTCTCCTGCCTCAGCCTCCCGAGTAGCTGGGACTACAGGCGCCCGCCACCTCGCCCGGCTAGTTTTTTTGTATTTTTTAGTAGAGACGGGGTTTCACTGTGTCAGCCAGGATGGTCTCGATCTCCTGACCTCGTGATCCGCCCGTCTCGGCCTCCCAAAGTGCTGGGATTACAGGCTTGAGCCACCGCGCCCGGCCAAGACATTTTTATTTAACTGAGTGTATCTCAAATTTATTGTGGAATTCTCAGTCCCAATATCTGGAATAGGAACTGCTTTGGTAGATGCTGCCATAACCATAATAAATGTCTTCAAGGGTGTAATTTTAGACATTATGGTGAGTGGTGGTGTTGGGGGGTAGTAAGTCAGGGCAACTTTTTGCCGCTCACATCATGCTCTGAAAGTAGCTACCTGCTTTAATGGATGGTTAGTGCTTTCCTATAGAATTGAAAAGATTCCAGCCTGATCCTTGATGTTTGTATTAAACATGCTTATATATAATATTAAACAATGATTAAGGACATAAATGAGTTTCTGTGGTAATAAAGATGCTATATTGAATATCATTTTGTGTATTTTCTGATTTCCTTAAAGAGTAAAAAATCTAAGGTATTACCTAGAAATGAAATTGTTCGTTATAGGCTGTATACACATTCAGCTTCACTGCTTATTGCCAAATTGTGGCTCCACCATTGTTCCAGTTTTGAATCCCTTCGATCATTGAATATGAATGTTCATATTTCCCGACCTCTGCTATAAGTTTCAATATTTATTACACTGGGCCAGGCACGGTACACCTGTAATCCCAGCACTTTGGAAGGCCAAGGCAGGAGGATTGCTTGAGCCCAGAAATACGAGACCAGGCTGGGCAACATGGCAAAACCTCATATCTACAAAAAATACAAAAATTAGCTGGGTGTGGTGACATGCGCCTGCGGTCTCAGCTACTTGGGAGGCTGAGGTGGATGGATCACTTGAGTCTGGAAAATCGAGACTGCAGTAAGCCGTGATCATGCCACTGCACTCCAGCCTGAGTGTTGGAGTGAGACCTTCTTTCAAAAAAAAAAAAAAAATTATTACCTTGATTACAAGTGAGTCAAGCATCTTTTCATATGTGTTTATTGGCCAATTGTGTTTTCTTTACTGTGCTTTTTAATGATGTCTTTGCTGTATTTTTTTTTTTTTTTTGCATTCTCATTTATTGATTTTCAGGATTCTTAAAATATTTCAGGTATTGGCCGGGTGTGGTGGCTCACGCCTGTAATCCCAGCACTTTGGGAAGCTGAGGTGGACGGATAATCTGAGGTCAGGAGTTCGAGACCAGCCTGGCCAACATGGTGAAACCCCGTTTGTACTAAAAATACAAAAATTAGCCGGGCATGGTGACGGGCGCCTGTAATTCCAGCCACTCGGAAGACTGAAGCATGAGAATCAGTTGAATCCGGGAGGGGGAGGTTGTAGTGAGCCGATATCACGCCATTGGACTCCAGCCTGGGGAACAGAGTGAGACTCCGTCTGAAAACATAAACAAAAACAAAGCAAAAATAAGCCTATTCCAAAACAAAAATAATGAAAGTATTTATTCGGGTGTTTTTAAATAAAATTTTTAATCTTATGTATTCGTGTCCAAAGGTGAAGAACATAATGTACTGAAGAATGTGATGGGACTTAAGTAACTTCTGTAGGACGTGAGTCCATTTACCTAACATTTTTCTTTTACCCGGGTCAGGTTCCACCCAGACTCGCCTCTTACTGGCCCTGAGAATGCACTGACTCCATCCTTGGCATCAAGACAGGGGCCCCAGCATTTGCCCGATCTGCTCATGCGTACTCCTAGGTCAGGAGGCCACTCCCAGAAGTCTCCGGGGCTCAGGCGGTGGGCGGGGCGCCCGGTCTTCGTGGTCATTGCTGTATTTCTTGTTGGTTTTAGGACTCTGGACTCCACTTCTCAGGGGTGCCTGCCGTCCTGACTGTTCCGTCTTGGCCTACAGATTCCACGGTCGACGGAGAAATCTCGGACCTCTGGCTCCGCCTCCCTGACCTCTGCGCTGCGGGTGACCTGGTCCCATCTGAGGAAGAAGGCGGCGCGGGTCGCTGCCGGAGCCTCTGCAGCCCCAGCTCGCAGCCCGCAGCCCGCAGCCCGCAGCCCGCAGCCCGCAGCCCGCGTGGGACCCTGTGTGGCGGTGAGAGTGGAGCTGCAGGAGGCGCTCAGAGCGAGGACGCCTTGGTCGCGGGCAGGGCTTGTCTCCCGCCTCCTGAGGCCCGGGGATGCTGGAACTGCGGAGGAGGGGGCTCATCTCTAGGGGGACAGTTGGGGAACGTCTCCTTTGTGACGTAGGGACTGAGAAGGGTGCGTGAGAGTCTTTGTGACCGGGACATAGAGTGAGTGTCCTTTGCAAAGCGTGCTTTGCTGTAGCTTTCTGGCGTCACTGACCCGTGGGTCCAGGGTCTCGGTTTCCCTGTCTCCTCTCAGTCTAGTATGACTGCCACAGAGAAATGATCCAAGCGGGAAATCAGATACTGAGCCTTAGATGAAGGTTTCCAGTGAGAAGAAACAGGATGGGAAGCTTAGAGCAGGAATTGCCCTTAAGACAGTGTGATAGACTCTGTTAGAGAAAAAATATTCAGTCAAACTTCTTAAAGCATGCAAAGGAAGACTTGATTCAGGATCATCGCGATAGGTATTGGAAGTACAGCAGTGAGATTTTGCAGTGGGTGAAAGAGATTGGGTTCAACCCCAAATTCAGCATGAACGAGCGGGACTTTATAATCAAGGAGCAGGTTAGGGATCACTGGATGACAAAATACTAAGAGGAAATGTCTGCGATAAGTAGGATTCTGGCTAAACACACCTGTTGGGATTCTTTTTAAAGAGAGAGACCCCGGTGATAAGACCTCATCACCTGGGGGATGGTGGAGGGTGAAGATACGGGGGCAGAGGGTTCCTGCTAAACTGGCTTAGAAGGGGTCTTTGCTATTATTGGATTTTACAGTGAAGTGTACTGATGGGCCCATTAGAAGGAGTAAGAGCCTGAGTAAAGTTTGATCAGGCATAGTTTGTGTAGGATTCCTTCCTGGAAGGGTTATACATTCCGTCCCCATCTCCCGGTTCTTGGACTTTCATTTACATGTTTAAGAAACCGGCCTTCTTGAATTCTGACCCTAAGAACCTTCAGTGAAGGATGATTGGAGAGTCCACCCACCATACTTCTTTCTGGTTATGTGTATGAAATTATATAGCCTTGGAGGGGGAAACAGAAACACTATTTTGAGGCGTTTGTGGATTGTCCGTTTTGGACTTCTGTAGATTGAAAGCAACAGGAATATGAACTCAGTTGTGATGTGTCCTTGCAAATGAAGGAAGTGAGCCAGAATGTAAGTGTCCCAAAATAGGAATTCTTAGTCATTGGGTCCATTGTTTTCTTGGGCATGCAGGGCACCACAACCCCCCTGAAACTATATATATGTTTGTTAATTTGCATTTTTCCAGGGTTCTGTCATCCAAATTATTTAGACTTGAGCTTTAGATCTGGAATCAGAGTGTTATACCTTTGAATGGTTTTGCAGAAAACTAATGATCAAGATTATGAGAATGGTTAAGAAAATCATACAGGCCGGGCGCGGTGGCTCAAGCCTGTAATCCCAGCACTTTGGGAGGCCGAGACGGGCGGATCACGAGGTCAGGAGATCGAGACCATCCTGGCTGACACAGTGAAACCCCGTCTCTACTAAAAAATACAAAAAAACTAGCCGGGCGAGGTGGCGGGCGCCTGTAGTCCCAGCTACTCGGGAGGCTGAGGCAGGAGAATGGCGTGAACCCGGGAGGCGGAGCTTGCAGTGAGCCAAGATCACGCCACTGCACTCCAGCCTGGGTGGCAGAGCGAGACTCTGTCTCAAAAAAAAAAAAAAAAAAAAAAATCATAGAACATTCGTGAGATTGGACATTATACTGATAATAAAATTTATGCTTATAAAGAATTTGTGAATAGCTGCATACCAGGTATCAGGAAAACAAAACATAATAAGAATTTGTCATTTACGGAAAAATGGCTATGATCTAACCTTAAATAGGATTTATAGTTACAGGTCGCAGTTCTCAAAAACCATATATGCAGGCCATTTTTAAAAAATGGAAGTTTGCAAAACCTTTCGAAAGGATTGTATCTAATATGACCATTCAATTGGTTTTTCAGAAAAGAATAGAAGCGGAGAGGCCACATTTATTGAACATCGAATATGTACCCAAAATCATGTGGTCTGTTTTCTGTGTCTTTTGTCATTAAATGTGCAAAGGCCATTTTCCTGTTCATTAAGGGAATAATCTTTATAGTGAGATTTTTTTTTTTTTTTTTTTTTTTTTTTTTTTTTTTTTTGAGACGGAGTCTTGCTCTGTCACCCAGGCTGGAGTGCAGTGGCCGGATCTCAGCTCACTGCAAGCTCCGCCTCCCGGGTTTACGCCATTCTCCTGCCTCAGCCTCCCGAGTAGCTGGGACTACAGGCGCCCGCCACCGCGCCCGGCTAATTTTTTGTATTTTTAGTAGAGACGGGGTTTCACCGTGTTAGCCAGGATGGTCTCGATCTCCTGACCTCGTGATCCGCCCGCCTCGGCCTCCCAAAGTGCTGGGATTACAGGCTTGAGCCACCGCGCCCGGCCAGAGATGTTTCTAATTATGTAGAAATGGCACAGCTAAAGGCTATGCAAGAAGACACAATGTTACCTGGTTCTGTCACGCTGATATTTTTTAATTCTAGGCCTACTATTTAGCTTTCTTATAATGACAGAAATGTACCCTTTTCCCATAATGATAGTTTAAAGTTTAATACTTTGAAATGTATTGATGTTCTATTTGTAATGATGAAATTAAGACAGGTTCATTGCAAAAATTTCATTACTGAAGGAAGTTATGAAGAAGAAATAACCCCAAATGCCCCCTGCCCAGAGAAAATCATTTTTGGTGTATGTGTTTCTAATTTTCGTGTCTGAACATTTGTGTGTAGTTTTGTCATTGCAGAAGAGAATTAATAGAGACACAAAGACTCCAACTGTTAGTTTGAAAATAGAATCTCCTTCAATTGTTGGTGTTAAACCAAAATTATGGTATGGTATTGCTTTCGACTGAGCTTCGGCACTAGGCTCCAACAGACTAGACTGAATCAAAATGAAGTCATTCATGCTGAATGCCACATTATCAAACTGAAACTTTAAGGGAGCAGATAAATTTCAAACCTGTTTTTCCTGAAAACAAGATTCCAGTCTAAATAATTGATGTTCACCAATCTTTTATTTTTATTTTTGTTTTAAAAAATTTATTTCAAAGACTGGGTCTCACTCTGTCACCCAGGCTAGAATGCAGTGGAGTGATTATGGCTCACAGCAGCCTCAAACTCCTGGGCTCAAGCGTTCCTCCCTCCTCAGCCTCCCATATAGCTGGGACTACAGACATGCGACACGAGCCCTCAGTTCTTTTTTCTCTAGTTCTGTTATTTGTTCCCACCTTACACAAAACCCACTGTTCCACCACAGTGTGTAATGAGGGCAGGGACCCTCATTCTCTTTTATACAATGGAAGCTGCCCCATTTGTGAATCCCAAATAAAAGCCCATGATATCTATAAGTCAATTTATTGTAACTTTGTCTTTTGACATGGGTTTCCATATATCTGTGCATCTTAGGAGGAGAGGGAAGTACCAGGGACCACCTGAGGTGAAAAACAATCACGTATTTACACCTTTTAGATATTAAAAACGTCATTTAACACTCAAGAGGGCACAAATTATGAGGTAAGACATCCTCTCAGAATTAATCATTTTTATTTTTATTTTTTTTTTTATTTTATTTTATTTTTTTTTTTTTGAGACGGAGTCTCGCTGTGTCTCCCAGGCTGGAGTGCAGTGGCGTGATCTCGGCTCACTGCAAGCTCCGCCTCCCGGGTTCACGCCATTCTCCCGCCTCAGCCTCCCAAGTAGCTGAGACTACAGGCGCCCGCCACCACGCCCGGCTAGTTTTTTGTATTTTTAGTAGAGACGGGGTTTCACCATGTTAGCCAGGATAGTCTCGATCTCCTGACCTCGTGATCCACCCGCCTCGGCCTCCCAAAGTGCTGGGATTACAGGCTTGAGCCACCGCGCCCGGCCAGAATTAATCATTTATGCTAGGTTCATGTCTGTAAAATCCCAGCGCTTTGGGAGGTTGAGGCGGGTGGATCGCTTGAGTCCAGGAGTTGGAGACCAGTCAGGACAACATGGCAAAACCCTGTCTCTACAAAAAATGCAAAAATTAGCTGGACATGGGAGCACTCGCCTATAGTCTCGGCTACTTGTGGGGGTGAGGTGGGCGGATCACTTCAGCCCAGGAGGCCCAGGCTGCAGTGAATTTTGTTTGCGCCACTGCACTCCAGCTTGGGCCACAAAGTGAGACCCTGTCTCAAAAGGAAAAAAAAAAAAGAATAATTTAGAGATGCAAGATTACTTCAGGGAAAATGGCAGTTATATATGATTTCCAGGTGTCTTGCAACTATGAATAATATTTCCAAAGATAGTTTAAATATTATAAAACGTAGTTATTGTAATATTTACAAGTATTTACATAAATGCCCATATTTTGCAGAAAAATAAGTTTCACTATTGTTAATTTAGCACCGTATTGGATCCTGTTCATCGAACATGTATACGAGGCTGAAGGGTGTTTTCCGTAACGTCCGGGGAGTAAGGAAAGGCGCATTTTCTCCTTACCTGTCTTTTTTTTTTTTTAACAGTTTTTTTGTTTTTGTTTTTTTAAGTAAGACTGATATTTTCTCAAAGGCGAGCCTTGAAATTTGTAAAATTGGAATTATAAGAAAGATAAACCAGCCGGGCACGGTGGCTCACACCTGTAATCCCAGCACTTTGGAAGGCCGAGGCCGGCAGATCACAAAGTCAAGAGATTGAGGCCATCCTGGCCAACTTGGTAAAACCCCGTCTCTACTAAAAATACAAAAAATTAGCTGGGCATGGTGGCGTGCGCCTATAATTCCAGCTATTTGGGAGGCTGAGGCAGGAGAATCCTGTGAACTCCGGAGGCGGAGATTGCAGTGAGCCGAGATTGTGCCATTGCACCCCAGTCTGGGCAAAAAGAGCGAAACTCCATCTCAAAAAAAGAAAAAAAAAAAAGAAAGAAAGAGAAACCTACAAAGCACAAACTTTAAGAAAAATAGGAAACAACAGAATTAATTTCCTTGTATACTAGTAGACTAATGGACAGGTCATCTTTTTTATCTTCCGTGATGATACATTATTACAGTAGCTATCATGTACTTGTTTCTATGGATTATCTTGATTAATCTTCAGACCTGTCATATGTAGTGAGATGGGGAAACAGAGGCACCAAGATGTTAACATCTCACAATGCAGAGCTCAGTATCACTTCCTTAGAGGCCGAGAAGACAGCCTGTCTCCTTAATTTT